CATCGCCTAAGTTTCAATTGGACAGAAACTTGGAATCATGCAACTTGGTTGCATGATGAATAAGAAATTTCATATTTGGAAATTAGACTAATTCGTTGACAAAGTGTCAAGTGAAGGACTAGGAGATCGAGTACACAAAGTTGTGTGTTGATCAAGTCCACCACAAGAGTGAAAAAGATATTCGTCATGATTTACTAAAGGTTTAGTGAATATGATTATACTTGTAAGATTAAGTGTAATTCTGAATTGATTGAAAGAGTTTAAATCAATAGCAGAACGGATAAGAAGAATTAAGTAGGCAGAAAGATAAAAGTTTCTCTATTCTAAGAAGAAGGGAGAGTACATTTTATTATGTTTTATGATAGGTCTTAATGATTAAGAACCATATCTCAATTGATCCTCTAAGTGAGTCTTAGTACAATTGTTTGTCTGAGAAGAGGAATCAAGAATTGAAGAAATGGTTAAATCAAGAAGTCAATCATACTTCGTTCCAAGACAAGTCTTAGAGTTAAGATTGTGACATTGAGTGACAAGTCTTAAGAAGGTTTATAACACTCATCAAATGTGGAATTGAAAAAGGTTTTCTTATTCTCGCACATTTGAAATTGGAAAGTTGTGATGTCTTGGATAAGACAAAGACCAACTAGGACCAATTTTATGAAGTGTTTTGTCTTGATAAAAGCTACACTAACTCTTGAATATTTATTTGTCGAGAAATGTTTATTGACAAGAGAATCTTATATGTCAAGGAGTCAGTGGGAGTCTTAATGGTCTTGAAAAGTTCAAGAACTAATCAAGAATAAACTTATCGATCATCATTAGCACACGACTTGAGGTTCACAACCTATCATGTTGACACTATCTTGTTTCTGTGTCGTTCCAGTTGAGTTAATTATGCATATGAGTTCTATGAGTTCTCATTTGAACGCATAAAAGGCAAGCACCTTGATCAATGAAAAGTACATTGATCGGAAAGGGTGAGCTGCTTAACTACTTGGAAGACATGGTGGGCACTTGTGTTGCCATAAGGCAAGAAATCAAGATTGAGAAGGTTCGGTCCATATGAGTTTGAATTTGTCGTAAACTTTGGTTTTGACAAATTCACATGGATAGGAACACATACACCATTAAAATCTAAGTGTCATAATATTCCCTCCTTCGTGAAAATGACTGTGAGGAAATGCTTTCACTAAGAGAGATTTTAAGAAGATAGTGATTGTGAAAATTGGATTCTCGAATTCGATTATGGTTACAGTATCCCTTTCCATGATTCGAATTGTGAGATTTGGCAATTAGTCTGAATTGTTTAGACACACATATGAGCTATCTAAGGCAAAGGTGTATAAGCTTAGATAAAGGATTATCAAAGCATTAGGTATTAGAAATATGAACTTAAGAAATTCAATAGGTATTGTCTTTCTGGAAGTTAAGCTGGTTTCTGAATACATGTCAAAGCTAGTGGGAGCATAAGTGTTGTGCTTATATGATAATAATCATCATGATAGTGGGAGCATAAATGTTATGCTTGTATGATTATTAAGGCAAGTATTGCAAGTTAGCAATATTAATTATAGAAAACAAGAGTTATACTTTGCAAAGTCGTAAGGATTGAAAAGTTGTTTTGCTATAATTAAGGGAGAGAATATTATGCTTCATTTCAAATCTAAAGGCTTAGGTTGTGGAATGTTAATAAATTTAGTCAAGGATACATAGTGCGTTATCAAATTTCGATTATGATTATGGCATCCCTCTTCATAGTTCGAATTGTGAGAACGTGACACATAAAATATTATGGCAAAAGATTGATAAAGTACTGTATCTTTATGTAATACATTATGCATCGTGTCCCATACGCTTCGGTATAGGATTGATTGCAAATGCTATAATATTTGACCATTCTAAAATTTTCCAAATGTCTAGCGCATTTAGAGGGAAAAAGGACAAGAATCGGTTTTAACTAAGATAATTAAACAACTATCAAAGGACAATCCAAAGTTCGCTGAGGATTGGTCGCTTGTGAGTAGTTGGAAGTACGGTATTGGATGGACCATATCGACATTATTATGAATAGATAAGATTCTATTAAGAATGAGTTGTCATATGGCAAATATGGAAATGTTTCCATATTGGGAGTTGGATATTGAGAGTCTATGTCTAGATTAGAAAATTTTATGCAAAAGGATGTTCAAAGGAATGTACTTTGAGTGAGAGACATCACGTCTATGGAATTGTATTGTAACAATCTCAAATAGAGAACTTTGTAATTTCATTGGCAATAGTCATTGTGATTTTGTGATATGACTTTACGAAAGGATCATTGCATAAAATGTTAGAATCTAGCATATTCTATAAGTAGCAAGAATTTGATATTCTTACACTTGTGAAAGGGATTGGGAGTTGTGAAATGAGTATGATTGGAAATGTGTTCATTTGATCTATTTCACAAAGCCAGGACCATAGGTAAACATTGTGTGCATGCTAAGAGCATGGGACAAGTGTAGTAATAATTCAAGTAAGAAGTTGATTACCCGAAACAACAAATAATGAGTAATCAATATGGTGATTAAATAAAATGTTTTATTTATACCCAGAGTTTGGGGCCATATGGGATTAGTATTATTCTTGTGTTTCACTTTGCATGTTTTGACTTCCTGAATAATTAATTATTTAAGAATAATCAAATTATTTGAACGGACCACAGTCGTTCATATGTTGGAAGTAGGTATGAATGAAGACTGTCGTGAATTGGAGTGTGGATTGTCTAAAGTGTATTAGACATAAGCAAATGTTTGCTGCAACGTTCATGAGTGCTTATGAATATGATTTGAGCATTGGATTAAACCCACGCTCACTTGGATCACTTCATGAATTGTATCACGAATGATTGGTGAGACGATAATATCTTATATTCTTGAAACCGAGATGTGTGAGTTGTATCTTGCGAGTCGGTTACACATTGATAATATGTAAACGCACCAGTAACTTGATGTTATAAAACATATTGTTGTGAGTGATTCGGTAAGTGAGTGCAAGCAAGCATTGAATCAAATTTTATCCGTTTCGTTTATCCAAAGTAGGATAAAAGCGATATATTTGGGCCCCTCGATGATTTAGTGATGGCACCTAAGCGCTTGGCCAAGCCGAGACTAATTTGATGTGATCAATTGTAGTCTGTTGTCAGTCGTCATAAATCGGAAGTCGGGAAACAGTATAGAGAGAATAATTCGAATCCATGTATCACGTCTATACGATATCTAGAATGGAGGAATATATGATCCCTTATCTAAAGGACACGCGTATCTGATAAGATCAGAGTTGACAGCGGCTTTTGAAAGCTACGATTGCAGATCAGGATCTGAAGTCATATGCAGAATAATTATTAGACTTATCCAAGTGGGAGACTGTTGGATTAGTGTCTAAGTCCATAACTATTTTGTATGTACTTGACCCGATGGTGCATGGTCCTTTTGGGTTGCCTTCACCAAAGCAACTTGATAGGATGAATTATGGTGAGAGAGGATTAATTATGATTTATTAATATATTATGAGAATAATATATTAAAGGAGAAATCATATTGTTTAATTAATATTAGTCAAGAATTAATTGATAATTAATTTTGTGGCTAAAAGAGATTAACTAAACTTAAGGGACTATAACTGTAATTATAAGATAATTGCAATTGGGCTATGGATTACTTAATAATATATATAGGTTGGACGAATTCTATGGGGAAGCCCATTAGAAATCGTCCAAGGGATATACTAAAGGAATCCATGGGCTGCTTAGGGCTTAAGCAGTCAGATTAGGGTTTCCTAGTTGAAAACCCTAATAGCCTACATGTATATATAGCACCCTTAAGCCCCAAAAACGTGGCGAAGAGTTCCTCTAGGGTTTCTGGACGTTTTGGGCAGCCTCCACTCTCCTTATTCTTCATCCTCTTGCTCTTGGTGTTTGTGAGCCATTAGAGGAGTGACAATTGTGACTCTAAGCTTTCTAAAGTCATTACAATAAGGATTTGAGATTGTTATTGCTATATAACAATCAAAGGTAATTCTCTAAACCCTAATTTCAGTTTATAATATGTTAGATCTAAGATTGTAAGTCTTGAATACATTGCATGTACAATAGAGAAACCTAGATCCAAGCATTAGGGTTTGCATGAGCACATAGGATGTTCTTATGGCCAAAACCCATCAATTTCGACCATCATAACTCTTGCATACGATCTCCGAATGTGCTAACTGTTCTTCCTACTTCTTTATCTTGGGTAAATGTTAGGCTTAAGAATAACTAATTTGGGTAAGTATAACCACACTTACATAACTCAAAAAATGGATACTTAAAGACTTAAATTTTCAATCTTGCTTTTTCTTTTCTTGCCAAAATTTTCATCTAATTTTTAACACTCATAAATCACTTCTCATATGACTTGAGTTACATAGCTACTTAAAAAACTTAAATTTCCCAAACTTTGTCTCTTTTCTTAACAGGATATACGCAAAAAAAAAATTAAATAAATAAACACTCATAACTCTCTCATATGATATACTTCAACTCAAAGTCACCAACCTCCTATTTTGTGTTTCGTTGCAAATGAGCCTAAGTTCTACAACCTCAAATATGAATTGTTACACAAGAAAATTGGTATTATAATAGGAAGATCTTGTACTAGTATAGAAACTCGTACCATATGGTAATTATATGGTATCTATCAAGTATACGTCTTGAGTATTCTTAGTTTCGATACCAAGCTGACTCATACTTACAGTCCATTACTTTATAGAATAAATACCAAAACGCCTATGAACAATAATGTCTTGTATTTTTGAAGTTTTGCCACAAAAAATTTAGATTTTGACAGATTTAGTCCCTTTAATTTTTTAATTTACAGAAAAGACCCTTGTAAAGTTTTTTTTTTACAAAAACATTCCATATGTCTAAGATTTTTATATCTTGGCAGATTTGACCCCTGTGTAGAAAATAAATTACAAAAATTATCCCCGTAATTTATAAAAAATGTTCTTGTGTATTTTTTTTTTTTTACAGAAAAATTACAAAAGTTGTTCCCGTAATTTACAGAAAATGTCATCGTGTAATTTTTTGGTACAATGCCTTTTGAACATCGTATGTTACGTCTTGAGTATCATATGCTATTTTCATCTAAAATAAAATATGGATAAACCCGTCTGTGTCAATGCAACGCAGGGACTAGCAGCTTCTAGTTATATCTATAATGCATACGGCCATGTATTAACATGGGCTTTGTTACTTTGGACCTAGGCTTTGGCATGTCCTTAACTATTTGAGCTCCGGCTGACCGGCATCTGGACCCCTAGTACCTATTTGATCAGTTTATGCTTCTACAAAATCATATGGAAAAGCTACTTTGAACCTTCCAGCACAAATCGGATGTTTCCCATCACTTGTGAACAAACCGAACCAATCCTGAAGATGGAAATGTCTTGACTGGCAGCTGGATCAATTAGATGAACTTTTTGAATCTTTGCATCCAACAATGTAGATAAATCCACATTGCCGAAAGAATATGAAATACATACATTATTACAAAGTTGGTTTTTTTTTATGATGGATTGATTATACAACAGTAGCCTTCCCTTCACATCTTGTACAACATCAAGCAGAAGAATTGTCAGCCATATCATGTTTTTGTTAAGAGCTAAACGGCATGCCAACAATTTTCTTCATATAACAATGGACCCTGTCAGCTCCGACCCAAACCAGAGAGGTCTGAAACATGCAATATGTCAAAAAACCAATAGGACATATAGCCATACTGGTTGTTTCTGACTACAAGTTGTATAATGAGCACAGAAATTACCAAAGTGATGATCTTGTATTGTAATGAAGAGTATCAACTCCAATGTCTTCAATCTCTGTATCAACAGTTGCTTTGGTTTCATCGGTATCTTCTTTTTCTTCACAAGAGTTGGAAACACAAAATTTCTGTAGCCACCTATCTGTCTCCCAAAGGACATGCATTATGCTCTCCCGCGATGAATAACCATGACTCTCAAACGGTAGAACGACTAGGCGAGAGAGTGCCCCATGCCCCTTCAACGCATTGAAGAAACGATCCGACTGCACCAAAAAAAAGATAAGATCTTTACAAACAACAGCAGAGACAAGTTGAAGGAGAGGATTATATATATGGTTGATGAGGTCATAAAAGCCAATCCCACCTGCATTGCCAGTGTTCCTGAGTTGTTGTCTTCTTCTCCATGGATAAGCAGGATGGGCTTCTTAATCTTATCGGCAGACATGAAAGGACTCATCTTGATGTAAGTATCAGTAGCTTCCCAGAGGGTTCTATCCTCGTTCTACTCAACAGTCAACAACATAATAAATTATAAATTACGAGCAAAAAAACCAACCAAAGTCTGCCATGTGTCGGTCTTACCTGAAACCCAAAAGGTGTAAGTGTTCTATTGTAAGCTCCTGAGCGAGCAATGCCACAACTGAAAAGATGAGGGGCATGTGCCAACAGATTTGCTGTCATAAACGCCCCATAAGAATGTCCCCCGATTGCAATTTTGCCTGGATGAGCCACCTGAACCACATAAACATCTCACTCAGTTACATATGATATGGTGGTTCGGAATAGATTTGATTTGATTTGATTTGATTTTTACCCCACGGCGGATGACTTCCTCCACTGCTACCTCTGCACTCGCAACAAGCTGCTCAACATACCTGCTCACCCACCAATAAGTTACTCTCTATAAGAAATTAAAACAAGGATCTAGGAAGTATTACGATTACCTATCATTTGCTTCTTCCTTTCCCTCACCAATGATGGGAATTGTTGGCCCGGATAATATAGCAAACCTGAAAAAACAAGAAACATGGGGAAAAGATTCAATGAAATACTACAAGGTCAAAAGTAAATATAAAAAGAGAGAGGAGAGGGTGCATGCCTCCTTGCGAGCCAAAGCAGTGGTGATGTTGGGCCTATGCCTGCAAACTCATTAGGAGAGCCACGAACCTGTCCAGCTGCTTCTTTGTTTTTAAACTCTCCGGGATACGACCACACCACACCAGACAAGGCAGAGGCTCGTCTCGTGTGGGGTCATACCCGGGTGGCAGGTACAAAGTTGCAGTCAGTTGGACTCCATCCTTTCTCTCGTACCTCACCATCTCCTTCTGTAATGAAGCCAACTGAGGGTATGGATGCGGGAACCTTGTGATTTGGCATGCTTTCCTCTCCGGCCATCTCTGTATGTAATACTGTGTGTTTTCAGTCAGGACCTTCAGCTCATTCACCTGCAACTCCCCTTCCTTCTGGTCCGACATTAGAGCCACCACACTCTCATAAATAATACTTCTCCTTGTCGCTGTGCCATATTCTCTCCTTTTCACCCGTATCTCTGTGTCACATACTCACATATCAGATGTTTTGAAATATGATGCATAATGGACTAATAAGACTTTACTTACATGTCAAACAGATCTAGAAAAGGTATGTTTCCTTCTGGGGTAGCACCATTTCCGTTTAGCAACAGGTATGTGGCTTGTTTATCCTCCTTCTTGAACTTGGCAATAACATAAGTCCCATCAGGAGTTCTCCGCAGCATGGGAGAACCAGGGTCAGAGTACACATCTTCAGATGATCTATCAAACAACAGGCGTGGAGCTAGAGGATTCTCATTGGATGATTTATTAGGGGAGACCAACCAGGTTCTTACACGTCGTGTTTTGTACCAAGATTCATATATCAATGCAAGCGAATCATCACACCAGCTTATTCCTCTGCAGATATTAAAAAAAAAAAAAAAAAAAAAAAAAAAAAAAAAAAAAAAAACTTACCCATAGCGAAGATCAAGCTTATGAAAGATGTTTGGGTGGTCTTCACCTTCAGCAGCCTGTGTGTAGACTATGTCACGAGGAGAAACTTCTACTTTGGCATCACCTCCATCTTGAGTCTCCACCCTTTACCCAAATATAATATAAGTAGTGTTATTATATAACACACTTTTCAAGGTTTTCAAGTAAGTTATTACATATTACATATTACATACCAGTAGAGAGTTGAAGGCTTATCTGCCCTCCAGTTCAAGGAGCGCATGCCTTTTCGGACACTGTTAAAAGCAATTGGGATGTCCTCAGCAACAGGCAAATCACAAAGTGTCCTAAAAAATTTTCCATCAGCAGCAGACCAAAGATCAATCTTTTTGGGAAATCTTCCACATGGGACAGTAAAAGAGAAGGGTCTATGAAGCGAAGTAAGTAAAATGTATTTCTGATCAGGGGAGGGATCAAGTGATGTGTATAAAGCTGGCTCCCCACACTCCCGTCTAAAGAAACCAAAAGAAGCTGTGAGGTGGCATAATACTCAAACAAATCTTCATCGTATTCATCTTTAAGAAGATCTTGGAAGGTTCGAACTTGAACAACAGTTTTCTGCTCATTGGATTGGATTTTAGGACCAGAGGGGACTAACGGTTTCTTTGGTGGCTTTCCTCTAGATGCTGGGATTGTACAAACCAACAGAGTCGAATCATTCACCCACACATAACTGCCAATCAAAATTCAAAACAAACATTTTACTATTTACCAAACAAGATATAAAATATAATATTTCAAGATGATCCATACTTGTCAAAGATTGCATTCAGGAACACATCCGGTGACTGAAACAAGGGTTTAGCTTTTCCTGTCTCCACATCTGCAACCCAGACTCTCAGCTTGCTGCCAACATCATCCTCTTCCTCCTGTTTCACTCATCAGGCTCATCAAATAATATGACTGGATATAACTATTTTCTAGTTGCCAAATGAGCTATAATCATGGTGCTTCATTTTGAAACAGCCATTACCTGATCTTGCCCCCGAATGCTGAAGGCTAAATGCCGACCATCAGTTGACCTAACATTAACAAACAAAATGGAATTAATTAGAAAATGACACAACACACAGAATAACATTAGTCTATTCAAATTCCAAGGTTACCATGTAACAAAATTGAGTTTAGATCCATCTGGAAAGCCATGTATCAATTTTTCTGGGCCTAATGTGCCATCATCCCTTAAATCATGGATCCCAATACCAGTATAGAATGACCTACATGCAAACAACCAAAAATAATTATTCATCTATCAACCACTCCACATGAAAGCAGGGAGCATAAAAAAGTTGACACTGTATTACAATTACAAATTAACAATAAGCAAGAACAAGCATCCTTATCACCCACATCCTGCTGCGGGTATTAGATTTCCCATCAATACGAACGCCTGCAAGCTTGTCCTCTGGTTTCGCCAACTCTGACAATGGAGGTAAAGATCTTCGCTTTAAGAATAAAATTTTATCTCTCTGTGGAGAAAACGATAAAGCTGGAAGTGGTGGAGCATCAACAATATCTCTGATCTCTGCTGGAGGAAGACGGTATCCACTGTTTGATTCTGATTGCACATTCAAAATGAGAAACAGACTGTTAGTCAACTCCATTGCAAACTTATGCCAACTTCTTAAATACCCAATGAAACCATAAGCATGTTGAAATGAATTCATTAGTGAATTTAACAAAGTTCAAATTGTGTGCAATAGCCACTACAATCGATTGCCTACACCAGGTCTGAAACTATCAGTATCAGAGCAGATTGAGAACAAGTCTAAGAAGCCGATTTTGACTTTATATGCAACACTAGTACGGATTTTATTCCAACCTAAGCAGTCTCCCTATTATATAGATTAAATTGTAACCAGCCTAGCACCAAAGGCAAGGTGGGAGTGAGTATTTCACTTGTTTTTTACTTGGAACACATCTATCAACATAAGCAGTCAGCAGTCAGCAGTTTGCAGAATCCTTGAATTCCAGTTTCTTGGCTACAAACCAAATTTTCAGAGCAGACTCACAACTCATAATCGATGATTTGAATCTAAATGGAATTTCCTATACTTTGGTTGGGGAGTTAAAAACAAAACTATCCGATTACAATCGATTATCCAATTTAATAACCAGTGCTTCCAAGAAGAATTAATTCAGATGAATATCGAAAAACAAGTACCATCATCTTCAGGCGTAGCTGTTGACCCATTAGGACCAGCAGCGTCTTCGGTAGCGATTGCTGCAAGAGGGACAAGATTGTGTAATCGTGAGGTAGACATGGTTTGAAGAAAAGGGTTGCGGGTGGAAGGCGGTGTTGATGATGAAATTCGACAGCTTTTGGAAGAGAGAAAAGATGGGGAATAAGAAGAGAAGAGGGTTGAAGATGGATGAGGAAGAAAAGGGGGTGAAGTGAGGGAAAAGACAGAGAACCGGTGATAGACTTTGTGTAGGCGCATGACGATGGAATCTTGTTGGTGTGTTTGATATGTAAAGCGTCTTGTCCAATGCGCATCCGTAAAATGAACCGCACATAGAGTAATAAACAGTGGATGATGTGCTCATCCCGAATTGAATTCAGGATTCTTGTTATTGGACCAGAACCTCCACTCGTACCCTTCCCCTCTTTTTGGATTATGAAACCATTTTCCTCCCATTATTTCTAAAAATGAAAAACACATCTCAAAGGAAATATCTATTTATAATTTAAAAAAAAAACACAAGACAATCCTATATGTTTTAATGTTTATGTCAATATCATTAGTATGTCTGTATTTAATGGATTAAAGTTAATCATAACTAGTAAAGAACCCGCGGCTACGCCGTTTTTGGGGTAATATGGGAAAAATCGGCAAATTTTAAAAGATATGTGTTGAAATTGTAAATCACCACAAATAGGGGAGTAAGTTGACACCTCCTAAAATTTGTACAACCAAAAAAAGGGACATTGGTGGAGAAAATCCAAAAATGTTGTGACAATAATGTTAATGTTGTCAAAGTTGGGAAAATATGATGGCAAAATTCAAAGTTGTCAAAGTTGGGAAAATATGGTGGCAAAATTCTAATGAAGGTTTTTTGTGTTTTTTATGTCAAAATGTAAAAGTTTTGACTACAATGACGAAAAGTGTCAAATTCATTAAAGATTTGTGGCAAAAACACCAAAATGTAAAGCGTTTCACTGCAAGGACTAAAAATGTCAAAGTCACTAAAGATATGTGGCAAAAACCTAAAGACACAAAAACTGAATCAAAACATAAAAATGTAAAAGTTTTGACTTTAGGGACTAAAAGTGTAAAATTCACTAAATTCTTGTGGCAAAAACCTAACGGTAAAAAAAGTACTATTACTAAGCTCCCTTGGATTTAATATATATATATATATATATATATATATATATATATATATATATATATATATATATATATAATGAAATGTTGTGTTGTCATTGACATGGATGTCACATCCCAACCCATGAACGGTAGAAACGTTCTGGGGCGGAGGACGTCATGTACAGTATCACAACAATGAATAGTAGTAAACAAGTAACAACATCATCCATTGCATTAATAATATAATTTTAATACAAGTGTGTTCTGTCAAGTTATATAGACACCAAAATATAAATCAAAATGAAAGATGAGTCTTGAACGAGCTCCATCTTCTCTAAACCTTGCATCGGTACCTGTCTACTGATGACCTGAGGATACAAGTTATTTTGAAAGAGAGTATCAGCTTTAAAGCTGGTGAGATCATAAGTATTTTAGTGTCTGTATTTGTAAGAAAGTATTTGTAAGTATGTGAAGTATAAGTATGTAAAAGTTTTGAATCTCCTAGAAAACCCTATGTTTCCTACTAAAAGTAGCCTTCTACCAAGGCATCTAGTATATGTGTGTGACTCTTGTAAGAGTGCGTAATTTCCCAAATCTGCCTATCATTAACCAAAAATATAGCTTTTACATTACCGTGCATCGTGTGAATGTTCACGAAGTGAATGTAATGGGAAAATAATATAGTGCTGTAGTGTTGTAATAAGTAACTACTGATGTACTAACTACTTTAAACCAATTGTAATTTAAAGTACCATGTGATCGGCATGTATCCTGCTACCGACTCAATAGAAAAACGACGATGTAAGACGTCGTAAGAAATGACATTTGGCACCCGTAGACTTGCAAGTCCCAATGTAGCGAGCAGCAAGGTGTAGGATAGTCAATCTAGTATAGATCTATACACAAACTCATACGCTCCCCAATTAAGGAGATTCTGGATACAAAACGGTCATGGCAGGTAGTGACATGCCCCGTTTAGTGGCTCACGTAAATGTAAAAATGTATATGTAATGAATGTGCTAGATGTATTGTACGTTCTCCCTCTGTCTAGCTTGTATGTATGTTCTCTCTGTATGGTATTGTAATGTACTGTGTGTACTAGCTATATTGTGTGTTCTCTTTCTATCTAGCAAGTATTGTAATGTTCTGTGTGTACTAGCTGTATTGTGTGTTCTTTCTCTATCTAGCAAGTATTGTAATGTTCTGTGTGTACTAGCTGTATTGTGTGTTCTGTCTCTATCTAGCAAGTATTGTAATGTTCTGTGTGTACTAGCTGTATTGTGTGTTCTTTCTCTATCTAGCAAGTATTGACTCATGAATGAACTGACTCATTGTATCATGAATGAACTGACTCATTGTATGATTCATTGTTCTAGTAATAGTATTAGTAACTTCTTAAACTACGCCTATCGTAGTTTACTAGTAATATGACTTGTATGTATGAACATGAAACTATACCCTTGCTACCCAAGGGTATTGAATTGACTGATAGAACTTTTATGACTATATATGTACACATGGTATATAACTAATATTTAAACGACCTTCGGACGGATAACCGATACCCTAAAGCCACATCCAAACAAGGAAAATGAGTTAAAGCGAGCTAGCCTTCCTAAGTCCTTTAAACATTACTTATATAACTATACATATATAGGCATGCAATTGACAATATAAAAGTATAAAAGAAGTTTTGTAAAACCTTTTGAAAACGGTTTGTTTGATAAGAACAGTTCAAAGTAAAGTATAAGAAAAATCTATGTTTGAAACACAAATGTAACAGAGTTTGAAAAGAAACATTCAGTATGTAAGACAGTTTGATAAAGAGTTTTAAACAAGTAAAAACGTTTTGGAAAGCCATTTGAAGTAATCTGTTTGGTAAAACAGCTAAAAGTGTAGTAAATCCATTTGTATGCTAGTTATTAATCACATGTGATTGATATAATACTAGCATGATTCAACTTGTATCCCCCCCCCCATAAAAGCATTTAAAAACAATTAAAAGGTTAAGTAAAGGGGTATGAACTCACCTGCAGTGAGTGGTTGGAATTAACGGATTGTATAGGATGCTAGGTGTCAAGTGAAGACTTGTACACACTCTATGATCCTAGTTAACATATAACATCACATATATGTAACCAATTAATCTTTAAACAACTAAATAACAAAGTTAAGACATACTAGGGCATGTTAAACACCTTATATAAGTGCTATAAGTCCTAAAGATTGCATCTAATTGTTGTAGGACATTGCTATTGAGTTTAGGGTTCAAGGGAACCATCTATTTGAGTTTACGGTTTTTAGACCATAACTCATTGAGTTTACGGTCGTAAACCCATGAGTTTACGGCCTTAAACTCATGCTCCTTTGACCACTTTGTGTTTTGAAGCCTTATAAGTCCTTAGGAGTAATTCTACTTGAAGTGTAAGCCTATGGAAGTGATTGTGGCATCAAATCATTCCTATATGTAGTTTACGGCCCATGGACCACTTCTCCATGTGTTTACGGCCGTAAACACATATGGTCTAAGGTCTTTTGATGTTTTCAAGTCCTAAACACATCAAGGAAGGGGTCTAGGCTAGTTTCCAAAGCTTGAGAAGGGACTAGGGCCACTTTGGCACACTTTTTAGGGTTTACGGTCCAAGAACATCTTGGACCGTAAACACCTTTGATCTTGACTTTCTTGGGTGTTTTCTTGATGTATAGAAGTGTAACAATCCCTATGATACTCTAGGATATAAGTACTTATAAGATAGAGGCTTGAAATGGTACCAAAAGGCCAAGAACACTAGTGTGTGTTCTTGGTGAAACTTGAAGATCTAACCTTTTGGAATGATTTCACGGATGGAAGTGTGTTAAAACACTAGATTAAGTAAGATCTCAACTTAAAAGGGTTACAAACACTTACAATATTGAAGATCAAGAAGAATTGTTGGATGATACTTGAGAGAGAAATGGGTTTTGGATCTTGAAATTGTGAAAAGTGATAAATAATGACTAAGTGTCATATTTATACTCTCTTTTAGGGTTTACAGCCGTAAACACCTTTGTTTAGGCCGTAAACTCCAAACTCTTGGAGTTTTGGGACTTTATTGTTGCACAATAAACCCAAGGGCATCCTCTCTCCTGATATCTCCTAAAGTGTTAATCCTAAAATACTCAAACTTATTCCAAAAAGCTTGAAAATTAGCAGCAACAGTTCTGACTTCTATTGAATTGAAATGTTGTACAGAATAGAAATTTCAGGTTGTCACAATGGATTTCAAAGATGATTGGAATTCAAAGATAATTAAAGGTGCAATGAGAAATAGAAACTTTATTATATAAAATAATTAACAATTAAATGATTTTGTTTCAAAATATATTTCATTTAATTTTTGTAGGGTTCAATAGATTGTATGAAAAATGATAATCTCTCTCTCTCTCTCTCTCTCTCTCTCTCTCTCTCTCTCTCTCCCGGTCCGAACCAATTTGGGGCCCGCGGCAAAAGCAAAAATTAAGGCCCTTTAAAATTTAGAAAAATATTGTCTTTTTTAATGAATAGAGATTGGAGCCCGGGACAAAAGCAAAAACTGAGGCTTTTTAAAATTTAGAAAAATATTGTATTTTTTTAATGAATAGAGATTTTATATATTAAACAGACTCTAGGGAGCTTGCAAATACAAATTAAAAATAATAATAATAAAATAATAATAATAATAATAATAAATCTATAATGTTCTCCATCCTACAAATACAAATTAGAAAAACAAGAATGTTTTCCAATGAATGAAGACAAAATGGTAGAAATTTAATCATAACTAGTAAAGAACCCGCGGCTACGCCGCTTTTGGGGTAATATGGGAAAAATCGGCAAATTTTAAAAGACATGTGTTGAAATTGTAAATCACCACAAATAGGGGAATAAGCTGACACCTCCTAAAATTTGTACAACCAAAAAAAGGGACATTGGTGGAGAAAATCCAAAAATGTTGTGACAATAATGTTAATGTTGTCAAAGTTGGGAAAATATGATGGCAAAATTCAAAGTTGTCAAAGTTGGGAAAATATGGTGGCAAAATTCTAAAGGAGGTTTTTTGTGTTTTTTATGTCAAAATGTAAAAGTTTTGACTACAATGACGAAAAGTGTCAAATTCATTAAAGATTTGTGGCAAAAACACCAAAATGTAAAACTTTTCACTGCAAG